AAAATAAGTAGCAAAATTACAACTTGTTGAATAATTAATAAAGAGTAAAGCTATTTACAGACAGACGCGGAGCCAAGATTTTATATTACATGCTGCACTGGAAAATAAATCTATTCGTAAAATTCATCCTAAATAAATTAATATAAAGCTCAAAATTTAATTATTGTAGCTCTCTAAATTACATTAAAAAGGATTTGGATGCGCTAAAAATGAATTGAATGTACCAATTAGATTAGGGATGTGATAAATGTTGTTTCAGTTTTCATAATGTCGTTTTGACTTCAAATGTGATTTTAACCATATTAGAGTTTGAATTTGGCAAAATTCAGAATGTGGAATTTGTAGTCCTTTGAGTTAGTTTTCTAATCTAATTTAAATCGCCAAGATTGGATGTCGGTTGAGAAAGTTATGCATCAATCGATGAACACTGCCCACAACTTTGATGTTTTAAATTATGTAAAATTTAAAATGTAACTCATTCATGCATAACTTTATCATCTGACATTCAATCCAGCTGATTTATGTTGTATTGGAAAGCTATCTCAAAGGATTACGGTTTTCGTATTTTGAATTTTGCCAAATTCAAAGTAGAAAATAGTCAAAATCACTTTCGAAGTCAAAACTATATTAGTAAAATTAAAACGACATTTAATATTTCAGATTAGATTAAGCATCAATAAAATAATATTAAATATAATTGATTGAGGGTGGGCCTCAGCCCATCCCACCTTACACTAAGATCCGCCAATGCTTATTTTGAGGAACTTAGACAATTTTAGAATATAAGTAATGATTATCGGTTTAAATTATAAAATGATAGTTGTACCCAATAAATATAATGTTCCTTAAGTTTTGTGGCGTTTACCCTAAACCCTCAAGGAACACATATATAAGTACTATTTCAATGGTAATGAATTCAATGGTTTGGCTTCTTCTTTCGTTTACTTTGTTTATAATGCAACTGGGATTGACTTTTATCTAATAAATTTATTTTTTATTTAGTTATATGGTGGTTTTTTTTGTTTTATTTTAATGAAAAGTCAAGCCTAAAAATTTAGAATAGCCAACCGGGTGAGACACGAGCCAAGGCGAGCGGGGCTGAGTCAATGCGGCCAGGTGGTCCAGCACGGCCCAAGATAATGAAGGCCCATCAGCTTTAATTAATTAATTCTATTACATATATTGACTTCTCTCCATATTCCATGATGAAACAACCAAGTAAAAATGTACATAACGCCATTATCATAGTACACGTAGACAATTTATTGTAATTTTATGGATATACCCACCACCACCACCACCACTAGTTGTCGGCAGCCAATTACATCCTTTATGAACATAAATAAGCACAATAAATAGAGAAGAAAAACAATTTAGACTCTACTTTCCAATGTCGCATCCATTTATTTTGAGGTAATTTGTTAAACAACTACGGTCAGTAATACTCTTTTAAATTAAGACAATCCAATTTTTAAAACTTGGTAAAAGTAATTTGTTCTCACTTCTCTAGTGTCACCTTATTTATTCAGTCTAACTAACTGAACTCCGTCAGACTCATTTAAATTCTCGCGAACTTTGTTAAATCTGCTCCATCATTGCTTCTCGTCGCCATCGTCGTTGAAGCTCTGCCACATAGCCACATAAACGTAATACGCAATCACATATGATTTTGGTTACACATATTTCCCTCTGTTGTAGCATAATAATAATGGAAAAAAAGAAATGAAGAACGTGAAGAATTGTTTGGTGTTGATTTTAGTATTGATAATGATATAAGCATCAAAATTTTAACTAAGTTGTACAAATCATCGATCTGCAAAAAAATGGATGGAGTAATTAAAAGAATAATAAATTGATAAAAAAGATGATTATATCTCGAGCTCTAAAAAGAAAAGTATTGGGAAAAAACCAAAACTAACAATATATGAAAGCCTTTGACCATCTTTAGTAAATTAAGCACGAGCTAACAAAGAATCACCATGTGTTTTTTATTTTTTACATAAAGAAAGTCAATCAATAATATGTCTTACACCTATCGCACACACATTAGACTAGGTGTAGTTTGAAAAGTCAAAGTCCAAACCCCCCAAAACAATAATTAAATAAAAATAAAAATAAAAAATACTACTCACTTTCTCCTACACACACACATTACACACACAATAACACGTGTTGACTTTCACAACTATATATACTCATTCATCTCATTTCCCAAATTCATCAAAACAAAACAAAAACAAATCTTCATCAAAAAGCTTCATATTTTCACCACCGGAATATTCTCTCTCTCTCCATCAATGGCTGAAATCGAGATTCCACCGTATTTCCTCTGCCCGATCACACTCGACATAATGAAGGATCCAGTAACAGTTTCCACAGGGATAACCTACGATAGAGAAAGCATCGAGAAATGGATATTCTCCGACAAGAACAGCATCTGCCCCGTCACCAAACAGGTCCTCATCGACCCGGATTTGACTCCGAACATCACGCTCCGGCGGTTCATCCAGTCTTGGTGCACCCTCAACGCCACCCACGGCGTCGAGAGGCTGCCCACCCCAAAAGCTCCGGTCACCAGATCTCAGCTTCTGAAGCTCCTCAGCGACGCAAAGTCGTCGCAACAGATGCAAACGAAGTCCTTACAGACACTCAGATCCGTCGCTAATCAGAACCAGACTAACAGGAGGTGCATGGAAACCGCCGGAGTGGCCGAGTTCTTGGCGGCGCTGATCGTGAAAAACACGCACGAGGCATCTCGCTCAGAAGTATCCGAAGAATATTTATCCGATCTGAATAAATCCTCCGACGAGGCGTTGGCCATTATATACTCGCTCCGGTTAACGGAATCCGGGCTGAAGAAAGCCCTAAATAACGGCGACTTCGTGGAATCGTTAACTTTCGTCATGCAAAACGGCAGCTACGAGTCACGTGCGTACGCCGTCATGCTTTTGAAATCAATGGTGGAAGTAGCGGAACCCTCTTTGTTAATCAGTTTAAAACCCGAATTCTTTTCGGAAGTATCACAAATCCTGAGCGACCAGATCTCGCAGAAGTCAACGAAGGCGACGCTCAAAGTGCTGATCGGCACGTGCGCATGGGGGAGGAACAGGATCAAGGCGGTGGAAGCCGGAGCGGTGGCGGTGCTTGTGGACCTCCTCCTCGACTCGCCGGAGAAGAGGACATGCGAAATGGTGCTGGCGGTGCTGGATTACCTCTGCCAGTGCGCCGAGGGTAGAGCCGAGCTGATGAGGCATGGAGCCGGCTTGGCCGTTGTCTCGAAGAAGATACTTAGGGTTTCTCAGGTTGCAAGTGAGAGGGGTGTTAGAATTCTGAACTCCATTTCTAGGTTTTCTGCAACTCATGGAGTTTTGATGGAGATGCTGCAGACTGGAGTTGTGGCGAAGCTGTGCTTGGTTGTTCAGGTTGACTGCGGATCGAAGACGAAGGAGAGAGCAAGAGAAATGCTGAAATTACATTCCAGGGCCTGGAAGAATTCTTCATGCATACCCAGCAATTTGATGTCTGCTTATCCATCTTGAGATTAATTCTTGTGATTGTATACGATTTTATTTTTTTTTTCCTTTTAATTTGTCAACTGTGAATAGTTTCGATTCAGTAATTAGAAAAGATGATAGAAAAATATTGGTATACGGGGCAAAAAAATGCCCATACAAAAAGAAATTTATATGTTTCAGGAAATTGAGTTTAATTCAAAAGAGTTGAACTTATTCAATTGGATCATCGTTCTTGCTTTTTGTCCTTGATTTCGATTTTTCAGATTCGTTTTTCATCTTCATAGAATTATTGTGAGGGATTTAATTTTCTTCTTTTTTACCATACCAAATTGGGACTTTGAAATAGCTTGATGCATAATCCATTAAATCAGAATATATGCCCATATCTCAGTTTCACATTAGTTAAGCTCATGCATGAAAATTTCGCAGTATCCAACTCAAACGTTGAAAAAATAAAATATTTGTGACGGTGTACTCTTGTTTTGAATTTCCATGAGGCCAGCAGGGATGTGTAATACATCTCAACTACTCTAATATTGTATTGTTTTTAATTCTACCCTAATTATTATTATTTTAACTGATATTGTAGGCGCTGTATATGTCAAAATTGATGGGAGTAATTTGGTCAAACAACAATATTGAAGTACAACTGACTGTTTACAATGTTTTCAAATAAAATTAATGATATTGAGACAGAAGGTTTATAAATTGGTTATTCTGATGGTGATGGCCACTTGATTCCATGCAAAAATTGAAAAGTCAATAGATTGTTCGAATGACTATTATAAGGTGGGGCTGGAATCTGGATGGCAACATTTAATTAATTCGAGAAATATTCAAATGTAGAAGTTATTATAATAAACTATTCAAAGTGTCCAAGATTTGAAACTCTCAAACATGGATAAGACCAAACTCGTCATTGTTAATTTGTTATATTATATATTATATAATATTACAATAAATTTTAAATAAATAAATAAAAATGAACCGGGAAAATAAGAGTTGAATGCATGATATGATGTTGTATGTATGTATGCAGGATGCAAAATCACATGCAGCGCACATTTTGACTATGCAACAGCTCTATTAAAGCTGCAACAACACCCTTACTTTCTACCGTAACATCTACTCCTGGCTCCTTGATCTTCCTTGTTAGAAGCTTGTCCAGCTCCCCTCGCAACTTCTGTATATTCAGAATCAACCAAACAACTCATCACCTTCAAATACACGAGTGTGTGTGTGTGTGTGTGTGTGCGCGTGAGAGAGAGAGAGAGAGAGAGAGAGAGAGAGAGAGAGAGAGATGCAATGAAATATACCCGTATCAAGTCCAAAACGGTCTTCGATGCAGAAAAATGAAGGTATCCGCCAAGCATTTCGATACCATCTCCAGTTTTGCTTGGAATAAGATTCCCACCAAACATGAGCAGAGCGTAATCCGATATACTAGTCGAGTCTCTTATATATATGCTACTGGTTTTGACCTTTTCGCTGTATACCATGTAAGGAAGTGGGAAAAGATGAACACCAGCATTGACAGATCCTGGATGAATGTCGACTTTTCCGACTTCTCTAGTGTATAGAGCTGTTCGTTTTCCCCTTCTTTTGCACTGCGCAACGTTTGGGTACAGTCCGGCACACAGTATTGCACACACCATCTCCAAATCATCACCGTACTCATTATATGCCTGCACAGTAAAGAATCGTGCAAATTAGCTGATGATAGTAATTTCTATTTTCTACATTGAAACTAGGCAATTTAAAAAAAAAAAAAAAAAAAAATTGAAGACACTTACTTTGGCACCACGGGATTTATCGACAAAACCAATCCCTGCCAGTAAATCAACAAACTGATTTCTCATATCTCCAATCATTTGCATAGTTACTGGTGACAGAAAATTTTCCCAGCAGAAGGCTTTCTCATTTCTATTGAGTTTAGCATCTTTCCATCCTTCAAATGCTTTAACAAGAGCAACGTGGTCACTGTTTTCAAGGACAAGAAAATTTCACAAAACCAGAATTATCATAAACAATTAATTGCGACTTTTCCAGCAAAAGCCTAACCTGCATGAATCACCGGCAAAGGATCTTTTTGCATCATCTGCTTCCTCTTTCCTGTTAATTGGAAGAACAAATGGGTTGCGATGTGCAAGAGAAGCAGCTATGGTTAGTGCAGGGTCAAGGCATTGGAAAATAGAACCCATGAGAAGCATCTTTCCAATATTCGGGTCCAAAGGTAAAGTGCAGAGATGACGCCCTGTTATCAATATTACACAGTAAGTTTCTATAATTGCATCCAGAAACTGAACGAACAAAAACAGACAATGAAATACCACACACCAAGAGGAGTCAGCTCTTCTCTATCATCAAGGGCACCGATAGTTTTGAGTAGCTCAATGGCATTTTCTACAGAGAGAGCATCGGGTGGTTGAAGTGCCTTAGCCAAAAATGTACTAATTGCTCCAAGATCCAAACTCTTTATATGCAGGCATAGCTCTTGCAGAGGTGTTCGAAGCATTTCAGGCAGTTGATACTGAGGCATAGCATCGTGGATCATTTTAGGATAAAGCCTGTAGCAAACCCCTGGTTGTACACGACCTGCACGACCACGTCTCTGCAATTACACATTTCTTGTAAGACTATTTTGCAGAGTCAAATTGTGATGGGAAGAAGACAATTAGATATGCAGAAGGGTGTTTGTCAAGTACCTGGTGTGCAGATGCCTTGGAAATCCATGAAGGTAAAAGACAAGCCAACTTATTAAGAGCATCGTAACTAGTCTCCTTTGCCTTTCCACAGTCTACAACGTACACAACATCATCTATGGTGATACTACTCTCGGCAATGTTTGTAGCTAACACAATCTTTCTGTGGATATACCATCAAACGGTTCTGTTAGGAGGTGTTTTCAGAAAGGAAAAGATGCAAGGTACAGATGCTTACCTAACATTTGGGGGTGGCCGATCAAAAATTTCGCGCTGATTGATTGTTGGCATTGAACCATGAACGGGAAGAAGTAAGACCTTATTTGGGTCTCCAAGAATGACATTTGCTTTAAGTTTATCAAGGAGCTTTGAAATATCATCCCATCCAGTGAGGAAAACAAGAATTGCTCCACTACCTTCATTGCGACATATATGCTCGATAGTTGATTCAACCTGTAATAAAAATTGGACAGGAAAAGCTTCTAACAGCTGTTCTTATGATCAACATGAAGATATCTTATAGCCAAGGATGAACTTTCCGGATATCTATCCCCGTTAAATTCAGCAAAATACTTGCGGACATATTAAAAATATGCATGCAGAACCACATAAAATATTAAAAAAACAGAAAGAGAGCTTTGTGCTATGTTATTACTATATTTGATTTAACTTCTTCCAATTAGTACGTAAGAAGAGGTAATTATAATACTGTAAGATACGTACAAGGCCCAAATCCAACTGAGAACCAGACCAAGCCTCAAGAGATCGCCTAGTGCCTGTACTATATCCTTTGTAGAGAGCATCAATGTCTGCATCCTGACAAGAAAAAAGAAACAAGTATTAAGTAGAATGCATAGGTTCCATGATAACCATGTAGCTTGACAACCCATGGACTTGCTATTCAATTACATCCAATCTTACATGAGCATGGCAGATGCATTGATGTACGAGCAGGAAGTCCAGCATAGGACTTCCATAATTTCTCAATTACATTATTTGGGGATTCAAAAAGGCATTTGAAAGAAAAGATGCTATCAAGTTAAAAGTATAAAATGGAAAGAGGCAATGTAAAATAAAATTTAAGGTGAAACTGATCACTAAGAACCACACCTCAAATAATTCTGTCAGAGGATCTTTTTGGGTATCCTGTTGTCGCCGACCTCTTCTTGAGTTTCCTGGAAAACTTTCATACTCTGATTGGATAGCATACCGAGTTTTCTCTAAGACATCTTCCAAATAAAATTCTTTCACTGGAAATGTCAATCCCTGCAAAAAAAAATTTATGAAACAACGTATCTTGAAGAAAAAACTAAAAAGATAAGGGGGTAGTGACATATAACTATATAAGATTATACTGCATACAGGGATATGAATGGTTGGAGCATTTGCGAAGTATTTCGAGAATAGATCAGCATTTATGGTGGCACTCATAAGGATAAGACGAAGGTCGGGACGGCGAGGAAGGACGTCTCGCAATATTATCAATAGGAAGTCCTCATTCATGCCTCTTTCATGAATTTCATCCACCAGCAAGTGAGTAATTCCTGTTAAATATGGGTCCTGCACCTGTATTGATTAGGAGAAAGAAAAGAATTTTAGAAGTAAAACAAAGTAGTTTTAAAAAATCAAATTTTAATGTTTTCCGGTCTTGACTAAAATTATGAGGGAAACATGATCCTAAGTGCAGAAAATTGATTTTATGTATGGTTTGAAAAATGGAACCTAATGTGCACTACAATTTAATCAACAAAGGACAGGCATCAACATGAAAACTGGAATGCCAAAAGTAAGATCACAAATACCAGCTGCCGAAGTAAAACCCCTGTGGTGCAAAATAGCAATCTTGTTTGAGCAGACCGTTTTGATTCCAGACGAATCTGATAACCTACAGTTTCACCAATCTTCTCTCCTCTTTCAGACGATATTCGAGCTGCAACGGATATTGCCGATATTCTTCGAGGCTGCGTGCATATCATACTACAACTAGCACCTCGCAGAGATGATATCTCCTCTTCTAGGATGAATTGCGGAAGCTGTGTGGTTTTGCCACAACCAGTCTCTCCTGATACTACCAGAACCTGCATCATAGAGTGAGAAAGGAAAAAAAAAAAAAGAACTGCTAATCTTAACACCCTTCAATAAAAATTCATATAATTTTCATAACTTCGAATATGACATAAAACAAAGCATTTCAGATAACATGCAGGATAAAGAAGGACAGGGAAATAAGAGATCAGAAAGATGGAGAACGAAGTGGGGAAGAAGTTGAGAAAAAAATTGGAAAAACATTGAGAAGAAGAATAGGGCTGCTGTTTAGAAGCACTGAATTCTAAAGTATTCATATGCACAGCAGAACATGCAGATTGCAGATAATCATCAAAAGAAAATTATACCTGATTTTCTGCAACAGCTTTCAAAAAGTCTGCTTTTACTTTGAACGCCGGCAGCTTCTCTCTAAATGCTAGCATTGCCTTTACACTATCCCCTTCCTACAAATCGAGATATTCAGCATTCACAAATTACTTTCAGAAAACCAGACACAGAGATTCAAGACATCAAGCTACATACCCTCATTTTTTCCTGTTTCTGTTTCAGTTCAATACTAAGTCCCTCGGAGGCAGCATCAATCTCCAACTGTGATGTGCCGACCTCAACTGGTTTTCGTTTTAATGTTGCGTTCTGAGAGGATGTAGAAGGCTTGCTCTCGACTAATTTAGTTCCATTGGAACTGTTCAATAAATTTCCAACTCTTTCCTCGGTTTCCGTGGACATCTTTATCTGAGATATTGTCCAAAAGGATAGATGATAGAACGGCATAAACAATATAAAAAACTGAAATATTTTTTTTCCTCCAATAACTGAACAAACCTCTTTCGTAGTGGAGCCATGCTGTTCGTCAAGATCTGCACGATAATTAGGCAATGGAACTTTGCTCACAACGAGTGCCTTCCCTTTATTATATGCATGGCTTTCTTTCCACAAATACAAAACCATAGGATCACTTTGTCAGCTAATTTTTCATATGCATAAAATTCAATTCCCACAAAGTTAACTCCTAAAGCATGTGGTTATAAAAGATGAACTTATTCATTCGTTGTTATAATATTGTGTGCATACATTTGATCGGCTAAATACAGCATGACAATTGAAACTATATTTAAAAATCTGGATCTAAACTTCAAAACCTTCAACACATTTGAAAGCCAGCTCTCTGATCCGAAATTAGTTCAACCAAAAAAATCCTCCAATCAATTCCATCGACCAAAATATCATACCAATGCAGCAAGAAAACTTATATTTGCATAATAACAAACTTAAGGTGGTGGTATGTGCGAAATTCATGAAAAGACTACATATAGATACACGATAATTCGTCGAAAAAAAGAAGTATACAACACATCAACAAATATAATGAGAGAAAGCAACTTACAAGTAAAGACCCAACTGATTAGCCATATCACCAAAGACTTGCTGATCATCTCTACTGAAGTGTCGCCTTATTACCATCTCCTGCTCTCCTCCTCTCTTCATTTGTTCCAATTTTCCCCACCATTCATTCTGATCCAATACGTCTTTCTACGGACATGCAAATACTACCGTTATAAGCCAAACGAGAGGAGCATAACTATTACCAGCTATGTAGTAAATATATCAGAAAAAACTACTGTTCCTGAACTGTGGTTTTTCCTAGAAAAATTGAGGTTTCAGACTTGTAACTTGAATTCACAACATACGTGATTGATTTTTTAATTGTGATATATAATGCAAATTCAAGCTCCACACATAATTCAGAGGAATTTCCCAAAGTTAATTCACTTCAAAAGAGTTTCCTAAAGTTCATCCTACATATCATACATTTACTTCATTATATCAAACACTTCTCCCCCACATAATTGCAATAAACAAACGCTATCAATTTCGCCTATTCGCACACAAAAAACGTAAATAATAAACAGTATCAGTACCTCAGCGGCTTGCTGACGCAGACGCTCAGCTCTCCAAACAGGATCCCACCATCGCTGCTCACCTCCGCCACCACGACCTCCGCCTCTTCCTCCACCGCCACGGCCGCCTCCGCGTCCTCCACCGCCTCGACGGCCGCCGTGGAAGTTAGGGCGTTGAGACATGGAAGTAAATGCTGAGATCCGATTAGTATTGTTCCTACAAAAGTTAGTGCTGCCGATAAATTGACGGTGCACGGCGGACGAAAGGGTATGCCGAAACTGAACGAGTGGGAAAACGCAGTAATGGCGGAAGGGGTTATAAAGTAGAGTGTGAGACATTTAAATGCGCTTTTGCGTCAATTTGACATCCCTATAAACGTAGTTGCTATTAAGCCTGTAACGGGCTTTTTTATGAGGATATGAAGCCCAATATAATAGTTGGGCTAAGGCCCGTTATAATATAAGGCCTTAGTAAAATATTATAATGGGCTTGGTGCCCATAGGAAGTAATTTAACGGCTAGTTCTATACTACCTAGGCCGAGATAGTTTTCATTTATTTCTCAAAAAAAAAAAATCATTTTATTTTATTTTATTTATTGAAATTAGTCGTTTTAGAAGCAGGACCCAGATCATTTACAGGTAATTAATAAATGGGCAACTTGCCGTCGTGGATGACTGTCATACTAACATGGTGATGCTGCGCTGTTATGTTTTTTTTTTTTTCTTTTTATGTTTTCATTTAATTTAATTAAATGGGGTTTTCTGAGCTTGTTTAATCAAAATCGGACCTTAAAATTGGCAATTGACCTAAACCAAATAAATAATATAAAAAAAATAACCATATGCCAAATGGATATCACCAATTACAAAAAAATTATAATTGTGCAATAAATCTAAAAGCAGTCACATCATTTCATTTCATTATATATATACCTAATGATAATACCATTCTTACCGTGTATTATTAAACAAACAGATAAATATCATTACATATTGGGTAAATTACGGTCACGCCTGAGTAATTTACGGTCACGCCTGAGTAATGTTAAATTATGAAAAAACCCTTTTGTTCGGTCTGAGTAAATGTTAAATATAGTTTCTTATACATCGCAATCTGATATTTACAAGTCAAGCTACACATTTTATGATCATCTTGTTTCAAAACATGGAGCTCGAATGGGACATAAGAGGTACAAACCGGAGAATATTCAACATAATCTAGAACATTCCACTAAATTTGGTACCATAAGAGTGAACGTGTAATAAATTTCATAATTGAGAAGTAATAGTAATAATTCAAACATGAGAGAATTTTTTCGACTTTCGTAATTTACCCTTACATATACATCCATAAAAATGACAAAAAAAAAAAAAATCGTATTAAACACATAAAATGTCACCCCAATTATATTCTTACTAATTTATAGTAGAATATAATGATGATCTAATCATCGAGGAAATAAATACTCAACATCCAATAAGATAAAACTCACAATAACTTAAAAAAAAATTAAAATTAAACTGATCACAAAAAAAAAAAAAAAAAAAAAAAAAGACCAGGATTGAAGAAATGAAGGTAAAAAGCTGAATTCATTTCTTCCATGGCTGAAGAGAAAGAACAATAATCAAAATAACAACAAGAACAAGAACAATACCAAAACAAGCCCACTTCCTTGAATTCTTCTGCAAAGTTCTGGCACTCACAAGCTGCTCAGTCCCACCTCTTACAAACGATTTAGCTCTCATAACCTGTCCTTCAATGTCATTCAGCTGTTCGCCCTGGCTCTGCACCAAAACCGCCATATCCAAGAACACCTGATGCAGCTCCATCAGATTCTTCTCCATCTCCTTCACCGCATCGTGCCTTTCTTGAATCTCCATTACAGTGTCCATCACCTGCCCTCTCCCCTGCTCCTGTATCGCCTTCTGCAGAAAATTCTCGCTCTCCCCGGTCTCGATCAGGCTGTCCAGAAGTTTCTCGTCGGGGTTTTCTCCGGTGACTGTGTAGTATCTTCTCTGGACTGTTTCCCTGTACTCCGACCCCATCTTCTGGCGGAGGTCGTTGAACCGATTCATTGCGTCGTGGAGTTTTTTTCTCAGGCCGTTGACTACGGAGGTGCGGGTCCGGTCGGAGGAGCTTCCAGGGCCGCAGCCCGGGACGCTGCGGTTGGCTGCGTTGGACCGGTCCAGGGCTTCGAGTTTGACCTTGACGAGCTTGGCTTTTTTTAGGGATGCGGCGACGTCGGCGTCCATTTTGGAGCGGAGGCTTTTGACGGCGGCGGCGTTGTGGAGGGTTTTGCTCTGCTCGTGGGCGGCGTTGAGGTTTGTGTAGAGGGTTTCGAGGTTTGTGAGCTCTTCTTTGATTGACTCGACGTCTTCGAAGAACCGGTCGAGGTTGACGCCGCCGGTTGTCATCTCTATGCTGTGGGAATCTTGATCCCGGTAACGGGAGAAAGATCCGGCCGAGAATAAATCGTTCATTCTTTTTTTTTTTTTTTTTTTTTTTTTGAGTTGTTTAATTTGTGCTGTTTGATGAACGAGTGGGTAGATATTTAAGTTTGGGGTATTAGAGAAGATGGTGAAATACAAAGTGCAGAAACATGGGTAGGTTTTGTTTAAACATTTTAAGACTTTAATTAATTAATTTATTATTTATTATTATTTGAAGAAGTCTTTAATTAATGTTTGATTAGAAATCATGGAGATGCTTAATTAGGATAAGCAGGCGGGTTGAATGGGGCCAGAAAGACTAGTCAAATGAGTAGCCTTCAACATCTTTATCAAAGTCAACTCTCCTTTACAAAATAAAAATTAAAAGTCAACTTATGTGTATTTTTCTTATAGAAAATGGAGGTTGGAGTATCATCATCTTTACTCGCCTTCCAGCTTCAAATCTTTTAGGAATATTGTATTATTATTATTATTATTATTATTATTATTATTATTATTATTATTATTATTATTATTATTTAATAATAACACTTCACTTATTGGAGGGTGCATTAGGAATTTGGTCAAACATGTCCCCAAGGAGGCAAGACCCTAAATATTGATTAGAATCAGCTCGGCACCAATGGACCGAATCCATTCATTATATTCAGATTAATGAGCCAAAGGCCCAATAAAATACAATAACGTCGGGGCAAGAGTTCGTGCGGTAGAGGCAAAAAGCCCAGGTCCACGAGGTAAGTGTATGTGTCGTCCCAGCAAACTAAGAGCTCGTTCAACACAAACCACAAAGCTCCTTGAAACTTTAGATCGGACCAGAATCACTCAAATTGGTCAAAGATTTCACCCATAACCCAAACCTCACCATAGCTGAACTCTCTCACTCGTGTTTCCTTAACCCACAAGTCTTGCCACACTCGATCATAATTAGAGTTATAAGAGAGGCGGAGGCATAGTACCTCAAAATGAATGGCATGAATCAAACGGTGGAGATCAATGCAGGATCAAGACTCTAGAGTCTTCCAAGGTTTGATCGGATCCAAATAGACTATAATACTACTGGGATTTGGTGTTGGGCCGAGTCAGATAAAAATGGATTAAATGGGCTGAAAGTCCAGAAATTAGCAATAGGTATGTGGGTCTTAACTTTCCATCCACCTCTTAATATCTGATTATTACGCATCGTTTCAACTTGCATATTTTCCCCTATTCTTCCTTCCGGGCCCAAGATAGTTTCATCTACTTCTCAATATATATATTTGTGAATGTAGTCGTTTTTGAAGCAGGACCAGATCATTGCATGTAATAAATAAATAGCAACTTGCCGTCGTGGATGACTGTTATACTAAAATGGTCATGCATCGCTGTTATGTTTGTTTTTTTTTTTTACCGAGTCACTAATTGATAAGGCACATCAAATTGGATTCGAATTGCAAAATAACTATTTAATTCGGATAAGCGTTATTAATGGGCATCGGTGGAGATATCGAAAAAAATTATAGAAAAACAAGGGTTTTCAACGAATTCAAATTGTATTTGAGTACAAAACGAACTCTATCTCAAGTGAAACGGCGCAAGGAACATAACTCATGAATCATTTCAAATTTCAGCAATTCAGCGTCGTTTAAACTGCTAAAAGTTCGTTTTTGCTATTTTAGGTAAGTTTTAGAAAATTAATATCAAATCATAGAAAAGTCGTAATAGGATTCCGTAATTTGGGTTGTTCCCAAAATTACAAGATCTACTGGAATCAGGATCTAACTCGTTTTTGCCGTTTTTTGTAATTTTTAGTATTTTCTTAGTTTAATTAGTGTTTTCAGTGTTTTAGTATAAATAGCTGCCTTAGGACTTTATTTTGAAAAGAATTTCGAATTTTAATAAAATATTTAGAGTTTTCTCTATTTTTCTAGTGGATTCTAGAGTTTTCGGTGAATTCCAAATGTTATTTAGTTCTATAGGATTAATTCGTAGAAATTAATTCTTTACCGTACTTCCGTTCTGCGTCAGGAATAAAAGCAGCTATTATTTCATCGAAGTTATTAATTTATGGAGGATGTACTGTATATATACTTAATATTAACATTCAAAGACTCAACATGTAGTAAGATACAACTCAATAATAAAAAAATAAAATTAAAATAAGACTGATCACCAAAAATAAAAACCAGGATTGAAGAATTAAATGAAGGTAAAAAGCTTCATTCATTGCTTAATTCCATGGGTGAAGAAGAAAGAAGAAGAATCAAAATAAGAACAAGCACACGCACAAACCAAAACATTTCTTTGAATTCTTGGCAGTCTGAAGCTTCTCAGTCCCATCTTTAATAAATGGTTTAGCTTTCAAAACATGTCCTTCAATGTCATTCAGCTGTTCACCCTGGCTCTGCACCAAAACCGCCATATCCAAGAAAACCTGATGCAGCTTCATCAGATTCTTCTCCATCTCCTTCACTGCATCGTGCCTTTCTTGAATCTCCATTACAGTATCCATCCCCCTCCCTTGCTCCTGTATCGCCTTCTGCAGAAGATTCTCGCTCTTCCCAGTCTCGATCAGCCTGTCTAGTACTTTCTCGTCGGGGTTTTCTCCGGTGACTGTGTAGTATATTCTCTGCACGGTTTCCCTATACTCTGACACCATCTTCTGGCGTAGATCGTTGAACCGGTTCATGGCGTCGTGGAGATTCTTTCTCAGGCCGTTTACGACGGAGTTGCGCGTCCGGTCGGAGGAGCTGCCGGGGCCGCAGCCAGGAACGCTGCGGTTGGCGGCGTTGGACCGGTCGAGCGCTTCGAGTTTGACCTTGACGAGCTTGGCTTTTTTTAGGGAGGCGGCCACGTCGGCATCCATTTGCGAGCGGAGGTCTTTGATAGCGGCGGCATTGTGGAGGGTTTTGCTCTGCTCGTGTGCGGCGTTGAGCTTTGCGTGGAGAGTTTCGAGATTTGTGAGCTCATCTTTGATTGACTCGACGTCTTTAAAGAACCGGTCGAGATTGACACCGCCGGTTGTCATCTCTATGCTGTGGGAACCTTGGTCCCCGTACCGGGATAAAGATCCGGCCGAGAATAAATCGTTCATTTTTTTTTCTGAGTAATTTAATTTGATTATAGGAGAAGCATTTACAATTTTAATTATGACATTGGAGGATCTGTTATATATATATATATGAGATGTCGGTACTCGGTACGTAGGTCAAAGAAAAGAATTTAAAGTTATGGTGACCACGCTTGGTCAAGTTAAAACAATAATTTCTGCAATTAAAATTAAAATCATAGAATTAAACAACAATAACAAAGTCTATAGGAAATTATCCAACACACAAACATAAAGAACACAATAAATGTTCAGACCACAGTTGAACATCTCAACACTACAAACTGGAAATCAAACCAGCTTGCTTGTCTTCTTATTATGAAATGGAAACAAACACTTAAAACAAACCCAATGTTTTCTTCACACAACCCTTCTGCAATAGGACATGCCCTCCATATAGAATGGCATGTTAGTAACACCCAATTGCAAGATTTATTCTCACACACACAACACACACACACGCACACTATATATATATATATATATAATATATATAGTTTTTGATTTTCTCCAAAAAATGGAGAAAGGAGAGAGATCTTTAGCCAAGAATGAATTGCCCAGGTGAGTCGAAACCAACCCCACCAATATTTCGTCAAACTTTGAGGTAATTGCCAGCATTAGCCATGGCAATGCCAATCCCTGTATTCGTAAAGGACTGAAATGCAATATGATTAATTCCAAAGGACTGATTGAATAAATGGCTAGTCACCTCAGGCCCTGGACTAGTATTTCCATTCTTTCCTTTAGAATTAATCACTAGTTCGTCACACATAATCACTTCAGATATCTGAGACTCACTAAGATGCGAGTATTGCTGTTTATCTTCCTTATCGTTGTTTTTTCCATTATCATTTTCGCTTGTCGTGTTCGAGTTTTTCGTGTTGAGGAAACGGCCCCCATTTCCCCTTGGGCGCCTCTTTGCATGGAGATGGCGCGAAAAATGCTGATATGGCTGGAGAATGGTGTTTTATGTTTAATTAAGCAATAATTTATTATTTTAAATTTTCAATTATCACCATTAGTACATACGCCCATTTTTTATAAAATTTATCGTCAAAGAAGAAATTTTTAATTACCTTGCGGGTTTTGAGGACTTGATTCGCAATTTCTGCCTTTGCGCGCGACTTTCTTCGCCTCATGATTGCATTGTACTGCTTGGCGTTCACGTAAATCGGGCCCACGTCACTAGGCATGTTCAATGGCAACATAATACGCCCCTAAAACAGAGTAAAACAAATGCCATATCGAGTTTTTTTTCCCCTCAATTTTTGAGTCTCTCATTTTAATTTTAAATACGAGAGAGACGAAGATACGAACAAAACAAACCTCAATCTGAGTTCCATAGGTCGACGAATATAGTCCATAGTATTGCTCACCGTACGGATATTGTCCACAAACCTGTGCCATTTCAAGAAACAGAATAAATCTGAATTAATAAAAGGACCAAAAATAAATTCCGTAAAAAACACGTCGTTGAAGAATTAAATGAAATTTACCGGTGGTTGACCAAATCCAAGCTTGAAATTCCATTGATCTTCCATAGTAGCAGAAAAGACTTTCTGCAGATTAGTTTTTGCACTATTTTCAGCACTAGTTCTGCAATCACCTAAAATAATTTGTTTTAATCAAGTATTTTAACTGGTAATTAATCCTATAAGAAATTAAATTGAAGAGCTATATCTATATATATAAATAAAGATTTCAAAAAAAAATTACCAGAGAAAAGAGTGAACTGAGTGGTAATTCCCTTTTCCAGGCCTTGCTGATTATCAGTATCCTTGGCCACCGTGAATTGATTCCGGCCTCCAGCTGGAAGCTCCAGAGACGTAAGCTTTGATTGGACAAAAGGGTCGCCGTAAACCGCCGCCGCCGGCTGAGATCCGAGCCCAATCCACCGTGGCAATTCCGACAGTGAAACGTTGAGGTGATTTGGGGCAACCCCTTCATTTTCTTTGAAGAACACAGTGTGCGAGTTCATTTTGATCGATCACTTCAATGAAATCGAAATTTGCTTAACATAATTTGCTACATACAAACCCTAGCAAAATTGAAAATTGAAAAACCTGGAAACATAAAGTGGAAAGAATAAAGTTGGATAATGTCCCATTAACCGAAACCCCTTTTTATTTTTAAAGATTAAAATTAAAGTAACCTAAAAAAATTCCACTTTGGAAGCAAAAGAGTGTGTATAGATTAACTGATTCAAATTGTACTTGTGTTTCAGTTTTTGCAGAAAATTAAAAGCTTGAATATGTATTCTAAAAGATTCTCTAACTGTGTGGAAATTAATAATTAAATTAAAAAAAAAAAAAAAAAAAAAGGAATTAAGTACAGAGAAGCATACCTATTGGCTGAGAAAGGGGAAAGAAAACCGCCGTCACAAGAAGGAAACAACCGCTTCAACTGTCGCCCCACTTTCAAACAGCAGCCGCCGGAGATAGAGAGAGAGAGAGAGAGTTGCGTGTAATGAGGGAAGTCTACAAGATGAGTAGTGAATTATATCTTTCATGCAAGTCTTTCTTTTTCTTTTTTTTTTTTTTTTTCATTTATTATATTTGAGTGTGCTTAAAAAGTTTCTTTTTTTTCTTTTGGAAAGTTTTTTTCATTTTGGGAAATTTTGAAAAGTACTTTGTCACTAAATTCATTTTAGATTGGTAAGAGCTTAAATGTGGGGATTTTTTTTTTTACTTGTATATTTGTACATATAAAGATATTTATGTTTGGAGATTAAAAAATAAATAAATAAAAATCTTTTATTTTAGCTAAATATCACTCGTTTTAAAAGTTGGGTTGTGATTTGTAATTTTTGTGGATTACGGATTTCGATCTCATTTCGAGATCTAACTTTTTAGTTTGCGATGTCTTTTACTTTCTAGTTGAATCATGATTCACCAAAAAATATATATAATATATATATATATATATATATAATATATATATTGTGGTCCAAGTAATTAGTCCACTAAAAAGTAGGTGGAAACTTTGTTAATTCATCACTAATTTTGAGAGCGGACTTCATACTTCATACAATACGATTTATATTAATGAATAATGAAGAACTCGTCTGTAAGGATGATCTAGCGGTTGCTGTAAGTGATCCAAATTCGAATCTATTTATCAACGATCGCTAGATCAAATTTGTCACATAGATTAGTTTAGTGTGTTATACGTCTCTCGTATGGTTTGCAAACTATTATACGAGAGAGTGTAAATGTACTCAGTATACCTATATTGTTGGTTGCGAGTTCCTATATTATAAAAAAAATTACGACGAAGCCAGAATTTTATAATTACGGGGCCAAATATATTAATATGATTTTATTTTCATATTTTATACATTGTGGTTCGTGTCTTATTAGTGGTGAGTGATTAGACTTCTTAATTTAGTGCATTGTTGCTTTTGTGTTAATTCTCGATTACTAATCTTAAATCAATGTAATACTTCCAAAAGGAATATATAGAAAATAACAAATAATGAAAAAGAAAGGACAAGTGTCGCAACACGACAATTATTTCATTAAGTAAAGTCCAACTTTGTATGATAATTAGCATCGAACCAAAATTAAATAAAATAATAATAATAATAATAATAATAATAATAATAATAATAATAATAATAATAATAATAATAATAATTACTAGATACAATAAAACCTCGATAAATTAATATTATTTTCCGATCTCAATTCGGTAACAACATTATAAATGATTAACTCGCTGATTTAATATTCCTCTAAATTAATAGATTTTGTATAGCCCCGGTATATTAATTTATATATTCTTAATTATAGTCTAATTAAAGAGAAAAAGGAAATAATTACTAAAAGTCTTTGTTAAACTGTTTATCTTAGTGGAGTCCACGTGAGGTAGTGAAGGTGGTGGACCTTTTCTTTTTTTAATATCCAAAAAAAAAAAAAAAAAAAAAAAAAAAAAAGTGAAAGACAGACATCATTAATTGGTCCCTGCATTGTTGGGATGCGACACTTACTATATAGTTATGTTTATTTGTTACCAATAATTGCTACATTAATATTGATTTTAGTGACATTGCTACTAATAGATTTTGACATTTCGTTAAGTAAGAATTAATATTTGAAATAATTTATTGAGGTAAGTTATTTGAAATGGATTGACCCCAAGTGGTAATTTACATCTAATACCGTGTGCGGGATAATACCATCAAATGCAAGTTAATTCATTGAATCTGTTAATTACTTAATTAATGACTGTTATTACCTGTCAAACAGGGACTAATTAATTGGTAGTTGTACTGTCTTAATTAGAAGCTCCTACATTGATGGGTTCGCCATTATCCGAATAAATTTGTCTTAATTTTCCTGCCATATGTCACCATTTTACAACCTTTTATTTCGGCAATTTTGACCCTTTCAATCCAACTGCCAACATATAATTTTAGAGAAAAAACTTTAAAAAAAATAAAAATTTAGAAACTTAATCTTATTAACTTATTAAATATAATTAATCAGGAAAAGTTCTATTTTCCGATGTTTAAACGGCAACAGACGATTAGCTAGCATACAACTGCATTATGTACAATTTAGTGTCTAAATTAATTAAGAATTCATTTCACTCGATGAAATTAATAATGTTTTCTTGCCATCTCCGACAGCCACGTGGATGCATGATAGGTACACTATGAAGATGATTAATGAAATATATACAGAATTAGCCAAAAGTCAGGTTTAATTAAGTATTTCAATTTCTGCATAATTCATTAAAATACTTTCCTTTTTAATTTGTTTATTAGAAATTTTTATGAGTGAAAAATAAAGGGAAAAACAAAGTAGATTAATGGAGAGGTTGACATATCACAAACCCAACACTTGTACATAGTGGGATTTCAACATTTGCATTCCACATCAGCATGCCAGCTCATATTAATGGAGATTGAGAGATCTCTCAACTCTTATCTCATCATATTTTAATGCCAATACTTAATGATTATCTCATGAAATTGATGCGATCTCTTGAGTATCATAAGATTTCTTTACTGAACGTAAGAAAACTCTTCTTTATTATTTCTCTTCATTATCAAACCCTAGCACAATACAACTATTTAAAGATAAGAAAAGCCTAGAATCCTAATCTAACTAGGAAAGATAATTACCTATACTAATTAAATACTTAACATCTATCCTATAACCACTAAACCTACGACTCCTAACTAAATTAATACTTAAATAATATATATTAAATAATAAAATACTAACTAACGAATAAATATACGATATATTAAATATATATCGTATCAAACCACCCCTCTTGAAATGAACCTTGTCCTCAAGGTTCGATCTAATAATTGCCCTTGCTTTTTTTTTTTTTTTTTTTTGTTTCCATCGATGCTTGGCTTTATGAGAATTCTTCCAGAACGACTTAATTCTACAATCATAGATGAGGGAAATAAACAAAGATGCAATGATAGTAGCACTTGGCCAGATATTGGTCGGAAGTTGGTAACAAAGACTTTTACAACCTTCAGTGGCCATAAACCCAAAATAATTCTGCTGCCCATGCTGCCATGATTGTGAATTTCTATTACCAACTAGAATAATATTTGCAAGTTCCATATTATTCAATTTTTGCGTCTCTTCATCCTCACTTTCTTGTTGATCTTCATCCTCACTTTCTTGTTGCATACTATTTTGATGCATCTGAGATTTAGAAGAATGATTTATGTCAAGAATTTCCCTTCTTATTTCTGTAACCTTCGAATCATGATTCTGAATATTCTTGTCCAAAATCTCAACCACAACACCACAAGCTTTTGATTCAGTTTGCACATGATCCCAATCCTCAGCGGTTTGCATCAATTCAGCAATTGATGTCAAAATTTCATCGTCATGGCTATCTGCAGACATGAAAATTAGTTGCGCTTGACTCCCAATAATTGGTTCAGCTTCCTCGACAAATTTCGGGCCGCGACCCTCTTGACCGGAAGGCCTGATGCGTAAGCCTGTATTACAGGCGTAACCTTTGCGGCTGCCTTTCCCTTTGGACAACACATCCGATGGCGGCGGCGATGTTGGTTTTGGCCGGCGGTCCCTTCGGCTCTTATGTTGGCGTCGTCCTTGACTTTGTTCGAGCAACTTTTGGAGACCAATCCGTATCTCCTCCACGGATTTTTCCAATCGCTCTAAGCGTTTTCTCTCGGACGACATAATTTCGCAAAGTGTTGATGTAATCTCAACTTTGCTCCAGCGTAGCTTTGATATAATCGCTGCCTTGCTAACGAAGGGTTGGTGTTAATCGCAACTTCGCTCTGATACCAATTGATGCAATCTCTTGAGTATCATAAGATTTCTTTACTGAACGTAAGAAAACTCTTCTTTATTATTTCTCTTCATTATCAAACCCTAGCACAATACAACTATTTAAAGATAAGAAAAGCCTAGAATCCTAATCTAACTAGGAAATATAATTACCTATACTAATTAAATACTTAACATCTATCCTATAACCACTAAACCTACGACTCCTAACTAAATTAATACTTAAATAATATATATTAAATAATAAAATACTAACTAACGAATAAATATACGATATATTAAATATATATCGTATCAGAAATTTCCTTCTTTTTTAAATAATGTTTAGTTGGAGAGTATATATTGATTTCATTAATGTTAACTAAAATTTGAATAATATAATTCTCTAAAAAAAAATTTAAAATAATAACATTGATTTCTCTAAAGAGACCACGTACGGACGTGTCCAAACTCGAAAGTTAATGTTTGTTCAACAGACAAATTAGTTCCAAAAGTGTGCATTACCTTTTTCTTCACTTTTGTCATATCTATACTTCATTGTCTGGGTGCTAAACATTTTGCTGACAATCAGCCAATTGTGGTTTATCCCTTAATTAATAATGCAATAATAATTTCTGTGCTTACATGAAATCACATCAAGATGGTGACTAGATAAACCAAATACTATTAACAAAGCACATAATCCGGAGCTTACCACAACTTTATTCATAATCCATACATCCAAACAGTACAGAAGCAAAACGCAACACAATCAAAACACCAACACATGAAATCCAAACCCAGAAAAGTTTTGAAAGCAAAAAAAGCAGTTATATTAAACAGAATCACACATTCTTGCCACAGAAAACATCCTCAGAAATAACCACCACGAAGACGAAGCACAAGGTGAAGGGTGGATTCCTTCTGGATATTATAATCCGCAAGTGTACGACCATCTTCTAGCTGCTTGCCTGCAAAGATAAGCCTCTGTTGATCAGGTGGGATCCCTTCTTTATCCTGGATTTTCGCCTTGACATTGTCAATCGTATCAGAACTTTCCACCTCCAAAGTGATAGTCTTCCCAGTCAAAGTCTTGACAAAGATTTGCATCCCGCCTCTCAACCGCAAAACCAGATGAAGCGTCGACTCCTTTTGGATATTATAATCTGCAAGTGTCCTCCCATCTTCGAGCTGCTTACCTGCAAAGATCAAACGTTGCTGGTCTGGAGGAATACCTTCCTTGTCTTGAATTTTCGCCTTCACATTGTCGATCGTGTCTGAACTTTCAACCTCCAGTGTAATGGTTTTTCCGGTCAAAGTCTTGACAAAAATCTGCATGCCCCCCCTCAAACGCAAAACAAGATGAAGGGTCGACTCCTTCTGGATATTGTAATCTGCCAAGGTCCTCCCATCTTCGAGTTGTTTGCCTGCGAAGATCAATCTCTGCTGGTCTGGAGGAATTCCCTCCTTGTCTTGAATTTTTGCCTTCACGTTATCGATGGTGTCTGAGCTTTCAACCTCCAATGTAATGGTTTTTCCGGTCAAAGTCTTGACGAAAATCTGCATGCCTCCCCTCAAACGCAAAACAAGATGAAGGGTCGACTCCTTCTGGATATTGTAATCTGCCAAGGTCCTCCCATCTTCGAGTTGTTTGCCTGCAAATATCAATCTCTGCTGGTCTGGAGGAATTCCCTCCTTGTCTTGAATTTTCGCCTTGACGTTATCAATGGTGTCTGAACTTTCAACCTCCAATGTAATGGTTTTTCCGGTCAAAGTCTTGACGAAAATCTGCATGCCCCCCCTCAAACGCAGCACGAGATGAAGGGTAGATTCCTTCTGGATATTGTAATCTGCAAGGGTTCTGCCATCTTCCAGTTGCTTCCCAGCAAATATCAATCTCTGCTGGTCTGGAGGAATTCCCTCCTTATCTTGAATTTTTGCCTTGACATTGTCAATGGTGTCTGAGCTTTCGACTTCAAGGGTAATTGTCTTTCCGGTGAGGGTTTTCACAAAGATTTGCATGCCACCACGAAGACGGAGGACAAGGTGAAGGGTGGACTCCTTCTGGATATTGTAATCTGCAAGGGTTCTGCCATCTTCAAGTTGCTTACCAGCAAAAATCAATCTCTGCTGGTCAGGGGGGATGCCTTCCTTATCTTGGATCTTTGCCTTTACATTGTCGATTGTGTCTGAGCTCTCAACCTCAAGAGTGATGGTTTTACCGGTGAGAGTTTTGACGAAAATTTGCATGCCACCACGAAGGCGGAGGACAAGGTGGAGGGTAGACTCCTTTTGGATGTTGTAATCTGCAAGGGTTCTGCCATCTTCGAGTTGTTTGCCAGCGAAGATTAGCCTTTGCTGGTCAGGGGGAATCCCTTCCTTGTCTTGGATTTTAGCCTTGACATTGTCGATTGTATCGGAACTCTCGACCTCGAGAGTTATAGTTTTTCCGGTTAGAGTCTTGACAAATATCTGCATCTGATTCAAGAATAGAAAAAAAAAAAAAAAAGGCATATCGGCAATTTAGCTTGTATACTACATAACACCAGAAACAGCAAATAGAACAGAGTTAATCAAGTCACTGAGTGGCCTCAATATCAAATCATGAATCTAGGTATGCATACTCACCCAATCAAATACATAATCTTAAACACTACATAATCTCGATCCTAATCAAATACATAATCTCAAACCCAATCAAATACATAATCTCAACCCCCGTAATATGAATTTGATTCAAACTCTCTGAATCCTATTGTTGTTAAGGAAATATTCTAACATGGAAACAGATAAACAGAACAAGAGCCCTAATAATTGATCAAATAATCACGAACAAGTCTCTCAGGGCACGAGAAAGCAAGATCCAATTAAAATTCTTAGATTACTAACCCGATCTATCAGCTCAAATATTCAGATCTAAACCACACAGCTATATTACATAATCTCAAACCTCGTAACATAAATTTACTCCTAAATTTTCTGAAACCAATCGTCACTGAAGAAAAATTCGAACATAGGGGACCAAAAAGCAAGATCCAATCAAAATTCATAAATTATCAACGCTGATCTATCAAATTGAACATACACGCAATTAAACAATCACCAACAAATCTCACATATCCAGATCACACGATTATATTGTATAAGAGACAAAAACGAATATAATCAATAAATTAACGAATGAATCAAGTTGAATTTAAGCAGGAGAAGAGAGAGATTTACCTTGAGGGAGAACTTCTGGAGAGCTGAGAAGACGGGGAATTTTGATGAGAGCAATTGATTTTGGGAGAATGGATATGAGAATTGCGACTAGTGGGCTGGGCCGGGGCTGAGGTTCGCCGACTTTCCCGACCGAAATATTAGGCCTTGCTTCCGTAAGCAATGACAAAATCCGTAAGCAATGACAAAATCCGATGCCCAATTCTTTTCTATTTCTCTTTTTATAATAATTAATTAATTAATTAATTTTCTTTCTAAATTGTTGATTTTTAATTTTTTTTTTACTTTCAAAAATGTTTAACTATATATATATATATATATATATATATATATACTTTGACTATAACAATCACATTATATATTGGGTCGATAACTAAAAATAATAAATTTTTTATTTTGTTTTTGTTGTAACGAATGAACCTGTAACATACTATATATGTGCACTGAATAAACATACATTATTGTATAATAAATTACAGATAGTATAAGAGACGTAAATCAAGTTAGGTTAACCATCTATGAGATATACGACCTATCAATCGTCACTATGATGATTCGAATTTTGGTCAATTGACAGGGCATACAGTAATTATTCGTTTTCTTTATTTTGAAAATGGAGTATTGATATGTGATTGGTTAATAAACTATTAAATTTAAAAGTCAATAAAATTTATTGATATAGCTCATCAATTCAACGTTGTTACTGAAATTGATACATAATATAGTTCAAATTGGACCTTCAACTGCCCACAATTGATTTTATCCAATCATGATTCAGCAACAATTTAAAGTTTATCTAAAACCTCCTAATTTATCATTTATCAACAAACAAATGGATCATAAAAAAAAAAATAAAAAAAAAATGGAGGGATCACGTTTCTTGCTCATCTTTTTCACCCCTCCTATATATTTCATGGTCTTTATGTGCTGATCAAATATCAATTCAACCTGAAAATGAGATGATAATACACGCACAAGACAAATAATGTACAAAATACATATAATTTGAGGGGGCAATTGAAAGTTTTGATAGTATAAGGGAGGTAAGTGACATATTTATATTAATACAAGGGATGGAAGTGAAATATTTAAATTAATACAGGGGAGTTAAGTGAAATATGTATAATACAGGGGAGGTAAGTTGAATTAGACCTATTAAAATTGTCATTAACTCAATATTTTTTCATTTCTAATATTTATATGTTTTTTGCTGTACATTTTCCTATTTTAATTGAGATTAAATATTTTCAGCGAATATGAAGGTAAATCACAAACAAATGAATATTTTGTATTATTTACATGTATGTCAACTGTTCAAAGTTTTCGTTCGTTTTATTTTATCCAAAATATTTTTTTTTGAAAAAATTGATCTCGTGCATCGCACGGGTGAATTACTAGTTCTAAATTACATATTAAAATATATGTGAACCCAATTGAAAAGGTAATTAAAATCCGAGTAAAGTTTGACCAAAATGGTTGGAATCCATCGTTTTACAGTTCACAAAAAATCCCAAGGTTATTATGTGAATCACATAACATTCAAATGTTAATTATCATAATTCTTTTTTTACACTAAAACAAAACACATTAAACACAACTTGACTAATTAAAATTTAAAACTTAATTACAAATCTTAAACCCTAAGAGTACGTGGTCGGCCCATAAATTGAATTTAAAAAAAAAAAAGGTTAAAATAAATTATTCCAGAAAAGACATGGGTGCAGATACAGCATTATACAAAGTTTCAAGCAATAGATAAATATAAAGAGAGCCACATATTAGTAGACCAATTTAAAAGACTGTGACTATAGTTCTATATACGCCAATAATTGCGTCACTCAACAAAACAGTAAAGTAATTTTAATTACTTATTTTTATTTTTTTGAAATATAGATTAACATTAAAAGAAAAAAAAATAAAAAAAATAAAGAACCCCATAAGACCACAACGGCCGCCACACGTATATATTGCCAGAAATATTTTAAACCAGTGAACAAAAAGAAAACGAAACCCTCTGACACCACCCCACCCCCTCCACCCACCCCACGCACCCACAGCGCAGCACCGCCGCGATGGACGACGTCGTCGTATCTATGCCGCCGCCGTTTCAAAATCATCCGCTTCTCCACCGCCGGAACTCCATCTCCAAGCTCACCATCATCCCCCATCAAAACTCATCTTCTACCACCACCAGCACCACCTCACCATCGTCGTCGTCCTCCTCTCCGCCGGATGATTTGGAGGCTTTGATTAAGCCTACCTCCCAGAACTACACCTCGCTAAGGGACCTGTTGCCGTCGGTCGCGGTCAACTCCCCCAGACCCAACTCGGGCTACCAAACACCAGGCTCCGACATCTGCATCAGAAATCGCCTCGTCAAACAGGCGGCGTGGGCCTACCTCCAGCCTATGTCCACCTCTCCCGGTTCCGCCGGCGGCAACCTCTTCAACCGTCTCTGCCCGCCGGTCGCCGCCTTCTTTGACTTCGTCGGCCAAAACCTAATTCGTGCCCTCAATTGGATGCTCCGGGTTATCCGGATCCGGGGCAGCACCAGATAGCAACGGGTCTAAGATGTGCGTGCTTTGTTGGAATTGGAATTGAATTGATGAATGGTGGTGATTCGTTTTCAATTTTCATTATTTTAATTTTAATTTTGGTGTAATAGCAAAATTGGAAAGTGTATTCGAACCGTAAAAAGGTTCAAATTGGGTGAAAAAAAAAATACAAGGACCAAAAAATGAACAAATTTGAAAATTTTAGTGGATCTAAAACCTAAGATAAAAAAAAAAAAATCTACAGTTTTAATTTCTTGTCTGATTTTGCTAATTGCTTTTGGAGGGCCTGTGTTCGACCCGTTTGGCATGTGAATCGGGTTCGCTATCTGATTTTGCTTCCAATTTAATCCCGATATTCGAATCAGGAATAAGAATATCCTCGGTGTGGATAAACTGTGTTTGGCTGCGGAGCTGGACTTTAGTTGAGTCAGACTTGGGTGTTTGGCTACGATGAGAGGGGGAGGGTGGAACAGGCGGCCGCCGCTTGTCGGACTTGGTCCTCTTGAATATTCCGGACGGCGTGCTCGGCGGGGTTGGTGGTGGAGCTGAATTTAATTGCTCATTCCCATCATTCTGCAATCAGTTGATTCATTCAATTAAATTAAATTAAATCACGGTCAAAAATGTTGGGGGAACGCCAAAAGTGAATTGGTTGATGTTGACTGTTAGTCTCACGTCAATTTTTCAATTGGACTCTGATTTTTCAAGAATAGGGTTAAATTTTGGAATTTGGCTCTTGCAATAAAGTTGAATATAAACTTTCAAATCCTATAGGCAAAACGTGGATGGAGTGTAATTGCAATTAAATTATGTGGCCCTAAGTCATCGGAAGCCTTGGGAAAATTGATTGTGTATACATGTTCGATTATGGTTCGATCAAGTTTTAATCGGGGCTTATTTTTTCGAGGCTTTGGGGGAAATTCGAAACATTCACTATAGTTTTTCTTTAATAAGAAGGCTCATAGAATCTGTAGTCAAAGCTCTTGCAAACACTACCGTAATCTAGATTATTTTATTTTTTTATATGGAGGCCTGTAGAGAAAATTAGTCAAAAAAAAAAAAAAAAAACTACCTAAAACATATACTTGGCCCTAAATCACAACCTGTAAATTTATTTTGGAGGCCCTATAAAACTCAATAATTGATGATTCGACCTCATAAACAAACTAACAATATGACTGTAAATTAAATGTTGATTTACACAACCATTTTAGATGATTAAATAATAATATGAAATAGGGAGAGAAAAGATAAAGTGGCAAACCTGGGAGCTTGGTAGTGTAACTTTGGTACAATGGGAAACAACAAATTTGAATAACTGGAGTGCCTTTTGGGAACTCAAATCGGTGCAGTTGTGCCAATAATCAATTGCTAAATTCCATGCTCTTTCCTTAAATTCAGCTACGCTCCTATCGATATCCGTCTCGTGCCTCGATATATATGGCTGCAACAACGTTTCGTAAACATATCCACTTCCCTGTAATAATAATTTTAAATACAACAAAACCATGATGTGGAAAAAAGAAAAACATTAAAAATTTCAATACATGTAAAGATGTGATTTTTGACCTTTGTGTTTGGATGCCACAGGTAGATGAAGAGGGCTAACTTAATTCCTCGGTACATCGGCAGCCTAAGTAGTATTTGCAATTATTCGTATCATTAAAAAAAAAAGATCGGACAAAATATGAAATATCGATCGGGGCGTACCATGAAATGAATATGTCGGTAAAATTTTCAACAACTGTTAAAGCAGCAACTATAATCCTGCAGAGGAAGTATTAATTATTAATAACAATAATTATAATAATTATATATGGTGATAATTCGATAGAAATGCCGACCAATATTGACACCAAAATCTGAGTTCTTGAATGCCAACTTTGTTTTTCTCTAATGTCTTGAAACACTGAAACGCAGGGTATGCATATCCCAGAGCCAATCTGCCAACACTACCAAAAAACATGGCTTTTGTAACGGAAAACTTGTGACACACTAAATCTGTCACAATTAGTGATCGAATTGGTGTCAAATTTGTGACTGCTTTCATTACAAAAACTCTGCAATTGATTGTGACGAGTACATGACCAATTTTGCGACGAATTTTGTGACAACCAAACTTTTGTCACATTTCAGTCACATCTTGTTTGACAGAAATTAGTTTTGTCACAAATCAGTGACATATTTTATGACGAAAAATAGTGTAGTCACAAATCGGTCATAATATTTTTAAAGAAGCAATAGTTTGACTAATATTGGTCACAAATTCGTCACAATCTCGTTTCCATCACAAATTTGTCACATAGATTTCAGTCATAAATCCGTCCCATGTCACGATTCGTCATTGATCCGTCGTTACTGCATCGCCGTCACACATCTGTCATACACAACTCCGTCATAAATCTGTCATATTTTAAATTTTGTCATTTATCTGTCACTATCTTTATTCAATCACAAATCCGTCACATGTAATTCAGTAACGAATCTGTCACATTTTAAGTTTCGTCATTAATTCATCACTTTTGATATCCTGATCACAAATTCGACACATATGTTTATTGATTAAAAATAATTACATTTTGATTTTGATTTATTAATCATTTATACTTATTTTGATCTTTGTAAAACAATTTAATGGTGACTAAAACTGATTATAATATATTAAAAAACATAATAATATAACAAATATGAACTATTCCAATGCTAATATTGTAAATATATTTTAGATATTGTTCAAAATTCATACTATTCCTCTTTAACAACATTGGTTCGGAAAATTGTTTAATTTTGTTTATTATTTTGCTTCAAAAAATATTTGTTATTTGATTTTAAATTACTTTCGACCGAGTTTGTAAGATACACAATTTTGAAATTTGATCCATTTTTGTTAATAAGTAACTTCATTAATTAATTAACTTACATATGTAACATATTGTATTTTTTTATGGGGGATTTTCGTAATTTACCCTAAAAATAAATAATAAAAAATGCATTGTTTCAATCATATGTCAATATTTTACTATTTTGAAAAAAGAACTTGATGAATTAAAAAATGAAGCCTACAATTAAATAAAATTATCAGGCTTAAATTAATTAATTGTACTTTGATTTGTAGTATATTATGTAATAATTAATGTTGTCAGAATCGGATCGGACACAAAACGGGATAAGCATTCGGGTTACGATTGGACCGATTCAACCCGGTTGTTTTAGTTTTTTAAATTTTTAATTATATTATAAATTTTAATATTTAAAATTATAATTTATATACATTTTTTTTAATCTTCACACTTTCTTCCCCTTTATTTTTTTTTTATAGACTCTTGCCTTTATTTTATTCACTTTTTTAATATTTTTTTATGCCCTTTTCTTCTCTCTAAATTTTCCTCTCGTCATTGCGGCCGGCTTCTCCTTCCCTTCATCTTCTGTTTCTTTCCCAAGAAATTCAGCACCTATCCCCTCTCTTTTACTCACAATTAATTAATTGTTACTTCTATTTTTTTTTCTTCTTCCCTCTCTATCTCTTCCTTATCTAATTTGTTTTCTTCTTATTCATCTTTTTTCTCCATCCATATTCAGCCATCTGTTCGACCCACGACCAAACCCGTCGGATTCCGGCAATTCACGGCCAGATCCGCAAATCCCGGCAACCCACGGCCTACTCCACCCAGATCCGGTCACCCCAGACGAACTCTGGCCAAATCCCGCCACCAACAGCCTCCGATATGAAAACCCGGGTCATTGACCAATTTTCGGGTTCATCGGTTTCAGCCGGTCAGAGGGTGTTTTTGACATTTGACTCCACGCTCCCACTACCATAAATTAATACCGTGGACACTGTCAACAAGCACCAGAAAACATCAACAAAACACCCGGTGACAAGGTTAGGGTTTCTGGATTTACGGTTTTTTTTTAAACTCCAACTCCGTTTCAAACATGAAACCATCGACAGCGGTAGACTGGGAATCAATTATTGTGATTGGGCATGGCGCACCGACCGACCACCAGCGATTTTGCGATTAGGCCCATAGCTCTCTACTAGCATCGGTGGTTTCTACCATCTATAGCAACAACGGCATCAGTGATTTGGCATCAGTGATTTTAGGTACTTATCTAATTTCTTCTACCGGCAATTTAAGTGGGTAGTTTCTGATTTTGTACTTGACTACATATCTGTGTCTACATGAATTCTGAGTTTTGGATGCAAATGTATATTGAAATGTTATAACTAATTCCCCAGATCTGCAGTTAGGCCGTATATAAACAATTATTGTTCGAGATTAACGTATTTTTATCTTCTCTAGTTGTTAGAGGTCGCACTACTTTTATTTTTTTAATAGTGTTTTCAAGGTCGTATTAACTCTAAGGTATTGTGCCTTTAGCAGTCTAGGACTTTTTTCCATCTAAGTAGTGAGATTTGCTTTTAAGGTTGGTTTTAGTCATGGCCAATGCATTTGAGTTGTGCTTTTACATTTAGCAGAATTTTCATTTTTCTCTTCTAATGATCTTGAGATATCAATGCCCTATCCAAATATTATTCAATTGCTTCTAGACTAATGTGCCGAAGGTGTTATACTACTGCAAGTTTTCAAATTAGATTTAATCTTTTACTAAGTTGAAATGAATGTTTCAATAAAACTTTGTCCATACAAGTCCTTGAAAAGTTAAGATTGCAGGTTTGCTTCTAGTGTTCAGACAAATATGATTTTGCATAAAAGTTTCTCTTTTTTTTCGGATTTTTTTGTAGTAAAGAGCTAGAATGAAGATCTTAGTGGTCGGATTTTTGTATTTTGCCCCTTCCTTACCTAGTGCTTACGATTTTGGGGGTTAATCATAATGTTTCCTCTGAATAATATTGATGCAAGATGCATTTCTTGTTTTTCAAATGCCAATAGCACCAAGAACTCATCACAAACTCTGCATGGCTCATGCATAATCGTGGACGACAAGAGTATTTTTGTTTCCTATTGTGATAGATTACACATCAGTAAGTATAGAGGAATAATTATAAATTCTTTTTCCATAATCATGAAATCTGCACATTGGAATTTACTGATTGTTAAATAAATTTCTTTGCTCGCAGGGTCTCGTGTAAATTTTGTTCGAGTTCAAATTTGAGGGCTCAATGCAGCAACGGTCTGATCGAAACTAGCTTTCTGCATCAACAAGCTCGAGCACGTAACTGAGAAGGATATTGATCTCGAACATTGTTACAGAAGAAATATCTTTTTTAACTTGTATCGAATTGAAAAATTAGGTGGCTTCCTTCAATTTTAATGCAAAACTCTTTCGAGTTTTCTTTCGGTCTATGTATTATATGTTTTGACTATTGTGGAATCATATGTAAATTTGGTCTTCTAAGAATTTTCTGTGCGAATTTACTTGGTATCTTCTACTTTTTGTTAGTTTTGTTTTGTAGTAGATTGTGTGTTGATTATCAAGAATTTTGAAGTTGAATGAAGTTTTGAAATATTCGTATAACAAATATAAAAAAACTAAAATAGCTTTGAATAGCGAATAGCGAAACTTCCTGAATCAATAACCAGTGATCGAATTGTGACCGAAAGATAATTAAATATTTGTAACATATTTGTGACGAGATACTTGTGATGGAATTGTGACCGAAAGATTATTAAATATTTGTAACATATTTGTGACGAGATACTTGTGATGGAATTTTGTGACGGAAGTTTTGAATGAAGTATTTGTGACCGATGTTCTTGATGGAATATTTGTGACGGACGTTTTTTTGTGACGATGTTGTCACGGACAAGTGATGTAAATTCTCAGTGATTTGTGACACATTAATGACCAATAAAAAGGTTTGTGACGAAATCCGTCACAATACTTGGAGACCCTAGATTACGTATTTGTGACGAATTTGTTTTTAATTGCGACAGACGCATCTGTCATAAACATTCCTCATGGTACATATA